CTTCTCGTGCTGCCCTTGTTGCTGCGCCGCCATTCCGCCTAACCATAAACCCGTGACACTATTAGGCTCAATAGCTAAGGACTTCTCAATCAACTCTGAAGGCTGACCTGAGATATCGCCTCCATTCTTCATTGCTTCAGCATCTGCTAGAAAGAGCATGACTTTAGCGTCCTCTGGCTGTAAGCCAAGGAGCTTTTTATACGCTTCCGCCGCATCATCGTAGCGTTTTAACGCCATGTAAGAACGCCCTAGCATGTACCAACCTTTGGGATTGTTTGGCTCATCATCTAGTTTCTTACGTAAACCTGTCACCATTGCATCGACATCAGGCCGACCATCCGCAGTCATCGGCACTTTACTCGCCACTCTGGCAACCTCAGGGTCAGCCGCTTTGCTATTGCCAAAAGTTGCATACATGCTGACACCCACAATAGGGACAAGCAAAGCAATAAGCGCCGCGCTAATGAAAGTGGGCTTCGCATATTCACTTTTTTTACGCATAGCGCTGCCTTCAACGTCGGTGTAAAGTGACTGCTCTAACTCATCACGACGTTGTTGGTAGGCTTCAACCTTCATCTCCTTGTTGCTGAAAGATGTTTCAAGCTCTGCAAGTTGTTCTTTGGCGATTTGAATATTTTGATCTCGACGATCATCGACTTCAAGCTCTGTTTTCTTCAACAAAGGCGGAAGAATCATAATAAGGGTCAATGCAATTAGCAGTACAACAAAAAACAAAAACATTGGAATGTGTCCTAAAATATATAATCGGGAGTGTAGAGCAGCCAGTAAAAACAGGCTATTTCATCAAATCACGCATGGATTCACGTTGCTCATCATCCAGTGAGACTTCTGACATCTTGGGTCGTTTACGCAGGTACCAGACTAAAAAGATCAGGCTAATCAATAAGAACAGCGGCGGCCCTACCCACAGTAGAACTGTTTTTAGATTAAACGGCGGTTGGTATAAAACAAAATCACCGTAGCGCGTCACCATATAATCCACTATCTCATCACGTGATGAACCTTGAGTGACCATATCGTAGGTTTGACGACGCAAGTCTTGTGCAAGTTCGGCATTGGAGTCAGCAATGTCATTATTCTGGCACACCAGACAACGCAGCTCTTTAACCATGCGCTTATAAAGCGCTTCTTGTTTGGGATCATCAAAGGTATAGGTTTCAATGGTTCCTGCTTGAGCAAAGACGGTAAACAGTAGCAAAAAACCAAACGCAAAGTTATAGAATGAGCGTCTCATCAGGCTGACTCCTCACGTAGTTTTAAGACCAGTGGCACTAAAATATCCACTACTGCTTGCTGTGTGATCGGCCCCGTGAATTTGTAGCGAATGATGCCCTTTTTATCCACCACGAAGCTTTCTGGCACACCATAAACGCCCCAATTAATTCCCGTGCGTCCTTCAGTATCCACGGCAATAATGGCGTAGGGATTACCTAATTGCGCCAACCAGCTCAGCACATCCGTGCCATAATCTTCCGTGCCGTAGTCTTTATAGTTAAGACCTACCGTGGGTACTTTATGATTACGAATAAAGTTGCTTAACACCACATGCTCTGCACGGCATGACACACACCATGAAGCGAACACATTTAACACCCACACTTGACCTTTCATGTCGTCAACGGAAATGCGTTTGTCTGCTTGATACAAACGTGGCAAATCAAACGCAGGAGCAGCTTTACCAATAAATGGGGATGGCACGTCTTTGGGATCTAAGTTCAAACCCTTGTTGAGTAATATCGCCAATAGCACAAACAGTACAAGGGGGAGTAAATAGATCTTTTTCACACCGTCGCTCCTTTCTCTGCAGCACTTCTTCTGCTAGCGCGTTCTTTCATGAAGACTTTACGTGTACGTCTGTAACGTCCATCAAATGCCGCTAGCAAACCACCGATAGACATTAAAATGCCGCCTAACCAGATCCAACGTACAAAAGGTTTATGGTAGATACGGAAACTCCAAGCCTCTTTACCCAGCGGTTCGCCAAGGGCAACGAATAG